AGGATATTAAGTAAAGATCATGTTCCGTAAAGATATTTTGTAAATTGCATACGGTAAATATATAAAAACTTCATTTTTAATTCGTAATATGCATTGCTAAGAACTTCATTTGAACAACTTTAAAGATGATTTTCTCAATATTTAGATTTTTTTGCACCCTCAGATTCCAGATTTTCAAATAGTTGTATCTCAGCCAAATATTGTCCTATCCTAACAAACCATACATCAATGGAAAGCTTATTTATTCAGCTTTGACATATAAATATCAATTTAAAAAAATGGACCCTTATGACTGGTTTTGTGGTCCAGGGTCACATTTGGCAATTGTTGTCTTCCGTTCCCAAATTTAAGACCTTTTGAAATCATAATTAAGACTTTCTTGTACCATTTAAAACTTCATATGGCCTTACATTTGATACAACTAAATGTAAGACTTTTTAAAAGCCTGATATATACTGGTGTTTTTGAACACTAGACTGGTGCTCAAGATCTCAATTGAGCCTTTAATGCATCATTAAGTGTGTGTGTGTGTTTGGTGTGTTCAGTCGTCCTGACCTTGTTAACAGTGTTGATAGGGGTTCGAGCTGATCCCGTGTGCAGTCTTTGGCGGGGCTCCTCAAACGCGTGGCCGGGTGACCTCTCCCTGCGCAGGTCCATGACTCGTCCCGGCGAGCGGTCCAGCCGAGGGTCCATCATCCTGCCGGGGGACCGCTCCAGCCGGCCCGGGGACTTCTCTCTGTCCAGGGGCCGCGCGGGAGACTTGTCCCGCCTGAACTCGGTGCGAGCCTCGTGGTAGCGGTGGGGCGTCCCGGGCTGGTGGAGGCCCTCCTGTACATCGGGCATAGCAGCCAGACGCTTGGAGATGTGCTCGTTATAGGTGGGAGGACCGCGTTTGTTTGGGCTGCCAGAAACCGGGAAGAAAGAGTCGAAGTCAGTCGCCTTCATTTACACTAGTCAACATTTGAAGTGGATCAAAAAAAGTTAATCAAAGCTGTCTTAAGACAAGAACGCATTTTGGTTTTAGGACAACTTTGATGAAAGGTTTTGATCCACTTCAAATGTTGCCTAGTGTAGTTCACAGAAAAATACCAGTTTCCACCAAAACACCTCGAAGTTGTGTTCAGCAGTCAGTTTCTTTCATTTACACTTCATTTTTGAAGCAAATTCATTTGTAAAGATGATTTCCATGGGTTATTTTACAAAAAATGTACAATGTAATATTAGATATAAACTTTATGTAAGTGACAGTAAACGTTACAACTGTATATATGTGTACTTATTCGAAATATGAATATAATATACTTTTATTCATCAAGGATGCATTCAATTGATCAAAAGTGACAGTAAAGACATTTATAATGTCACAAAGATTTCTATTTCAAATAAATGCTGTTCTTTGAACTGTCTATTCATCTGTGAATCCTGAAAAATAAAATGTATCATGGTTTCCACAGAAATATTGTGCAGCACAACTGTTTTCAACATTGATAATAATCAGAAATGTTTCTTGAGCAGCAAATCAGCATATTAGAATGATTTCTGAAGATCATGTGACACTGAAGACTGGAGTAATGATGCTGAAAATACAGCTGCGCATCACAGAAATAAATTACAGTTTAACAGATATTCACACAGAAAACAAATATTTTAAATTGTAATAATATTTCACGTTTTACTGTATTTTTGATCAAATATATGCAGCCTTGGTGAGCAGAAGAGACTTCTTTCAAAAACAATTCCAAATTCTGAATGGTTTACACGCAGCAGAGAGTTCACAATCACCTGACAGACGTTCACCAGTGAGAGGAGATTAAATATATTTGTACAGTTATGAATAATAAACCACAAGCCCATCAGACCAGTGAAGATTCAGACTCATGTGCGCAACTGAACCACTTAAATGACAAGACTACTTACCCTCGAATGGTGAGAAACACGTCTCCTCATCCGTCATATCCACAATAACACACTTCCAACTGGGCATATGACGGTATCAAATTTTCAAGGTGCGATTAATTGCTAATGCTTTTATTACGGTATTATCACGGTATTGAAATTTAGTTGCAAAAAAGTGTTGTCATGAAGTATAACAGGTTTTTCTTAAAACAAAAAGAACTGAACATTTACATACAATAAAGAATACACAAAAAAGTATAAAGTAAAAAATGTCACACTGATTACAGTGCAAAAGAATTATAAAGACCAATAAGTAACACTTCACAATAAGATCTCATTAGTTACCCTTAATTAATGCATTAACATTAATAATGAGCAATATCTCCATTTTTGTTACAGAAGTTATTAAACTTTGTTGAAAAATACAACTGTTAGTTCATTAAATAACACAGTTGCAACTTTTGATTTTAACAACGTCTTATTTAATATTGGAATTACATAAGATTAATGAATGTTTAGAAGAATTTTTCATTGGCAGTTTATGTTTACTAATGAATTATCTAATGTTAACTAATAGAGCATTAATGTAAAGTGTGACCGAACAATAAAGAATCAAAACATCGGGTCGGTGTGATATATCGCATTACCGAATACCAGCACGTGTCTACTTTCAACACATTTATGCGTTTAAATAACATTATAAAAGTAGAGCAACAGTCACATTATGAACAAGAGCTTCTGAAAACACCTAAATATAATGATATAATGAGAGTTGAGGAAGAACGTTTTCAGTGCACCACATCGAGCGGGGTTCAGGATATTCTAAGAATATCCTGAAAGCACTTAAAGAAAGCACTTTTCTTCCTGTAAAGTAGAAAAACAGTCAGAATCTCTGGACCAATCACAGCCAGATTTCAAGGGTTAGTTCACCCAAACATTTAAATTAGCCCATAAATTACTCACCCTGAAGTCTGTACAACAGTGAGCGCAAGCTAGATTCAAGTGATTATTACATTTTGAATATGGATATTTTTCGTACAAAAACACATCGATTCGCTACAGGAGGCCTTTGTTCACCCCCCGGAGCTGTGAGAGACACGTTTTTTTGTGGAAGGGTGCTTTTTATTTCACGTCATTTGAACCGAAGCACTGCAACACCCGCTGAGTGCAACGGTAGAGCTTGAAAGATCAAAGACAATTTTTAATATAACTCCGACTGGATTCGTCTGAAAGAAGAAAGTCATATACACCTAGGATGACTTCAGGGTGAGTAATTTATGGGCTAATTTAAATGTTTGGGTGAACTAACCCTTTCAGGTCACATGGGGTTGTTCACAGTCAGATAGAGCTGCATTTAAATCATTATTCACCTCAAATCTCACTCTGATATTGCAGGTGCAGCAGGTTTGATGCCATTGACTTTAAATGTTTCGATTGTTATTATCGTCAAACCTGATTTGACATCGACACAATTTAATGAAATAAATCTGTGCGCTGTGTGTTCGCGAGTGAAACGCAGCACTGTGTTCATGTACACATGAGCAGCTCGTGATCCGCCAGTGTTTGCAGTAAACGCTGCGCTATATCAACTCATCTTTGTATATTTAAGTCACTTATACATTTCGAAAGAGCAACATGTGCCAACCATCTTCCAAATTTGTAATGAGAATAGTTTATAAATCAACAAAACAGAAGCTCTAAGATCTCACAGCAGTTTTCTGCAAAAAAAAGCAAACAAATTAAGAAATAAATATTACTGTTGTACTTTTACAGATTTTTACTATAAAATAAAATAATTTTATTAAATAAAAGATTATAAAAACGTATTTTAATAGTTTTTAATTACAATATATTTCTTATTTTAATACTTTTTATTTAATAATAATAATAAAATAATAGTAACAATTATTTTATAGTCATATATTAATAACACAACAATATGGTCTCAATTGTTAACAATATATTTTAACAGAATTTAAAAAAATATTAATTTTCATTAATAAAAATACAATTGTTCACTGTTCATGTTAGTTCGCAGCGCATTAACTATAATAAAAATATACAAATTTTGATTTTAAATTCGTTTCAGTAAATGTTAACATTAACATTAATAATAATGAATGCTGTAGAAGTATTGTTGATTGTTAGCTCATGTGGTTAACTAAGGTTAACAATTGAAACCTTACTGTAAAATGTTACTCATATAATATAATCACAAAATTATTATTTTTTTGGACAAATTGTGCAGCCCTACAAACAAGCACAGCAAACCTGGGGCTCTTTATATAAGTTAGTGTAATGTTATGCCTAATGTTAGTGTAATCTATTAACACACACATCATAACCCCATCTTTTAGGCAAGCACATATGGTACCCAAGGAAAAAAAATTAAACAAGGTAATTGCATCTTAATTTATCTCACAATATTTAGAGAGGCAGAAAAAGGATATGGGTGCCGTCACAAAATATTTTTAATACGACTGAATTTGTATATAACGTGATCATCATTTAATAAAAACATTATAAGTTACTAATTATACCGCTTTAATTTCTATGGTTATTCAAACAGCACAAACTATACACAAAAAGCAAGCAAAGAACATTTACATTATCAAAGAATATGACGAGTGAGTTAAGCACGCTCAAAAAACTCCCCCGTTATAATCAATGAAGCTGCCAACAATGTCAAATTGATCTCTTACTTACATCGCACATACATTTCCACTTTGTTGTTTATGATGAGAGAATTCGCAAGAGTTGATGACTCATCTGAACGCCTCTGATTGGCCATCGCATTCATAAGCTCAACAGAATCGTGTGTGATTGGATACAATGCGGAACGCTGTAAAAACGCATGCTTTGATGCATCATTAGCAGATCTAAATTTGATGCCGCAATAGACTTTTCATTTCATTTTCACTTTATTCGTGACATCCTTAATAAATTTAGTTTAATTGTACTGTATATTAAAATAATCTTAAGTAAATTAAAATGCTATAAAAAACTAATATTTCTAATTAAATTTTTGTCCCATCAACAGCTTTTGTTTTTATTTAAGAAAATATAGTTCTTGAAAACTTCTGGAATCACAAAATTGATTGTGGTTTATTGATTTAATACGCTAAGATATATTATAAAATATTCTAATTTTAAAATATATTCATTTAATTATATTGAAGGACTTCTACTCCTTATAATATATATACAATCTAATATATTTAGAATTAAAATGCAAAAAAAATGTAGTAAAAAAAACAACAACAAAAAATTCTACTTTAGAATAACTGTTGTTTTTCACAAAAAAATATGTATTTCAATATTTATTTAAATTTTGTGTGTGGTGCACTTGGAATAGAATTTTCGTTAAACAGAGAGCTAATAAAGAAAAAGTTACTTGAATCAAGTTGTAGTTACATTTTCAAGTTGACTAGTTAAAATCTATTTTTTTTTTAAAACATCGAGAATCGGTCAAACATTCGAAAAAAAAGAAAAATCTAGATTGAAATTTTTCGCCATATCTCCCAGCCCTAGCTGTGCCTATGGAAAAATCATTCCCCCCAGCTAGAAAAGATTAATCAGCCCCTAAGGAAGCTTCTTCCAGAGAAACGTGACACTGACCTGCGCGTGGAGCCGTTTCTCTGCGGATCTGCAGTCGATGCCTCCTGACTCAGGTTTCCTTTGCAGCAGATCACACGCAGCTTGTTCTGGAAGGACGAGGCCAGATACACGGCGCCGGACGAGATGGCCGGACCCAGGTAACGCGGGTTAGGAATGTCCAGGTGAGCGTAAGCGTGAGGCCTGAACACACACACAAACACCACTCAGAGCGTCTCTAACAAACATCAGGAACAAAACCAAACCAGACGGGGCAGCGGTTTTACCCGAGCGCAGAGTGACTCTGAACTTCGATGACGTCTAGAGAGTTGAAGTAGGTCACAAACAGGTACGGCTCTCGGTACGCTGTGGAGAAAACAGACGGGATAAGATTTTATTGATCAGGAGCTGATGTGAGATTGCTAAAATGATGCCTAAATAGATATTACATTAACATTATGCTTCCATTTTAGATTACAACAACAGTTCTTTAGCATAATATGCACTGATGCGTCATTCACAATAAGACCAGAAACATGAATTAATACAGTAAATAACATACAAATCTTGACATCAAACAAGTTTTTTTTTTGTTGAGATTATGCTTATGTTTTTGTCAGATTGGCGATTAATCTTAATTTTATTTTTAATTATCTTGATTCCAACAATTATGAAAATGAGATAATCAAGACAAATTATATACAAATTACATATATTACATAAATATTTAAAAATATTATAAGTATAAATAATTTAAATATGTAAAAAAATATATAATACAAATTACAATATTATACATTTAATAAATAGTAGTTATAATAATAAAAAAATATATAATATATATATATACTACATACTAAATGTATTCATTTAATTTTATTTTTCAGCTGAATTATTATAATTTAATATATATATCTATATATATATATACTATAATATATAAATATTTCAATATTACACAATTATACACTACTAACATTAAAAATTATTATATATAATAATTTATTATTTAAAATATATATTACAAAAATATATTATTCATACATTTATATTTGTTAATGTTGTTTTTCAGTGGAATTACATTTATAGTTCTAGGAAATCCACTGTTAAACAGACAATTATTTTTTCTGAAGTTAAATAAATGGATGAGTAATTACATCAAATTGTTGTGATTAAAAATAATGATTTGGATTTTTGCCATAATCGAGCAGCCATAATATGCATCACGATAAGGATCGTTGTTTGCGTTAAATCATGTGAATGACTGCAGTGTGTCTTGTTTTTTTCTCTGTGATTTGCTTTTCCGTGCACAGCTCTAAACTATCAAATAAACCATCGTCAGCTCTCTAGACTTTACACTGATGAACAAAACTAGGTTTTACCGAAGGACAGAGGCAGGCGGCTCCATTTGATGTCATCACTGCAACTCCTGCGGCCGTATGCATCCACAAACACACCGAACTCTGCAAACAACACACACACCAGTGAAACACGACATCACACACACACACCTTCCGTGTCTCGTACGGTTCACACACGCACCGTGGAAGCAGAGCAGGTACTCGACTTTCTGCGGCGCGCTGGACACCTGGATGATGGAGATGGGGAAGCTGTGGGACGAGGCGGCGAACACAGCCGAGGCCAGAGTCACGTCGTTCTTATCCAGGAACTCTGAACACACCAGTTCAGTTCATCAGCAGCAGTTACAGTGTGTGTGTGTGTGTGTGTGTGTGTGTGTGTGTCATCTCACCTTCCAGCACGTACTGCTTCATCTCGATCTCGTAGAACTTGTTGGTGCCGATGATGATGCTGTATCCGGTGAAGTGGATGCAGCTGCAGGGTTCAGACGTCTCGATCTCCTGCGGAAGAGCAGCGGACACACACACACGTGAAGGGAGGAATGAACACGCGTGTGTGACGTGCATGAGGAGGGTCTTATACGTTACCTTTCTGATGCAGAACTTGTTGAGCGTGTCGTTGAAGCGCAGGATGGTGATTTTATTGGGCATCGCAGCACAGATACACATGCACGTGTCGATCTGAAAAAGCACACACACACACTTCAGTAAAGTCTTCAGTAAACTCTGATTAACAGACATACACGTGATCTCATCATTATCATGAACAACTAAAACTATTAAAACATATTTGTTCAATATAATAAGGCTGAAATAAAATGTAAATATTAGATGAAAAAACAAAAATGAGAAATGTTAACTTGCTTAATGAAGTAAGTTTAAACTAAACTAAAACTGAAATAAAATGAAACCTAAATAGTAAAAAAAAAAACACAAAAAACTAAAATTACTAATGTTAAATTGTTCTAAAATTTGTACATAATTGTACTAAAATTAATACAGATATTAGATAAACAACTTGCACTTAAAAACGTAAATGAAAATAGAAATGTTGCCTTGGTAACTAAATGAAATAAAATAGGTAGATTAAATTTTACTAAAATGTTACAAAATAAAAAACTTCAACTAAATGAAAATTCGAAATTTTGCCTTGGCAGCTAACTGAGAAAAAAAGTTTAAGCTGAACTAAAACTAAAATAAAAATAAATTAAAACTTTAAATAAAAAAAATAAGAGCCAATTCCAAATATTAATAAACTAGTACAGAAATGATACTAATGTAACACTGTTAACAACATTCTGTTAACGGGGTATTTTTGTCAAATGAAACAAAGCTGAAATAAAAAAATATAGACATTAGATGAACAACTTACACTTAAAACCTAACGAAAATTAGAAATGTTGGCAACTAATTGAAATAAAATAAGTTGAAGTACTAAAGTTATACTGACGTAATTATATTGTACTGAAATTTAAATTTAAAAATGAAAACTGGAAATATAAAAATAAAAGCCAATTCAAAATATTATAAAAAAAAGCTGTAATAGTATGTGTAAATAATACTAAAATAACACTGGTTCTAACCAGGACTTTTAATCAATCACTGGGTTGTCAACACAGTATGTCAATCATTTTATGTTGGTACAGTAGCTCCGCCCACAGTGAAATCTCATTGGTCCAAAATCCTACATACTGTATCTCGCCTACATCCACAGATCCTACAAAGGAAACCTCCAGGTTCAATACAAGTCAATGTGAAACACCGCTCAAAACCAATTTTACTTCAATAATGAGATGCATTTCTGAATAAATCAGGAGATTCAATACACTTATAACTAGAGATCAAATACAGGACCTCTATTAGACTTGGTAACAGGAAGAGCATCATATACTGTGTGGGTTGATGGGGGTCTCTACCTTTCCGGAAGCGAAGAGATGGCAGCCCTTCACCGCCTCGAAGATGTAGGGACTGAGATCGGGCTGCGCCGGCAGATGAGACTGAGCCAGAGACTGTTTGACCCGTTTGATGTCCACCAGACACAGAGCGCGCTCCTCACCTGGCTGCTCTGATGCCGAAATAAATCCATGCAATTATTTTTTAATCGATCCACGAATCACGATGCATCGATTTATTGTGACAGCCCTAGTATTCTGCTAGTAACCCACTGTCTGTGATTATTGTTCACCTTTAACGTCTCATTATTCTGTCAGTAAGAGCACACACATGTGAAGCAGAGAGTCGGACACTGACCGGTGATCATAAGCAGCTTGTCGAGCTCCTTCAGGACCTGGATCTGGAAAACAGAGTCGAGTCCCGGGATGTGTGTGAGGGAGTTCTTGATGACATTCAGAGCGTACAGACCCTCCTCTGAGCCCACCAGCACGATCTGAAACACACACACACACACGATCACTGACCTGATCTGAATTATCACACTATTGTCTTCTGTAGAGCTGCTTTACAACTGAAATGGAACTTGTTTTATCACTGATAAACCTTGCAACATTAACAGTAACACTGTTATTTCTGTTTATTACTGTGAAACAATCTGTATTATATAAAGTGCTATAGAAATAAAATTTGTCTTGACTTGAGCTTGTTCACACAGGAAACATAACTGTTTTTAAATCACTGTCTACTGCATTTTATATGAGCGCTGCATTTGAAAACAAACGTCATTCCCCCTCCTTACCAAACTTACCTTTTTTTTACTTACACAGACACACTTACACAGACACACTTACACAGACACACTTACACAGACACACAGAGACACAGACAGACACACACACACTCAAAAGTTTGGGATCAGTAAGATTTTTACTGTTATTTAAAGAAATCTCTTCTGCTCATCAAGGCTACATCTATTTGATCAAAAAAAAAAAACAATATTGTGAAATATTACAATTTAAAATAAAAATTTTCTATTTTAACATACTTCAAACTGTAATGTTATTATTCCTGTGATGCGCAGCTGTATTTTCAGCATCATTACTCCAGTCTTCAGTGTCACATGATCTTCAGAAATCATTCTAATATGCTGGTTTATTATCAGTGCTGGAAACTGTTGTGCTGCTTAATATTTTTTCGGAAATTGTGACACTATTTTCAGGATTCTTTGATAAATAATAATTAAAAAAAAAACTCGACAGCATTTATTTAAAATAGAAATCTTTTTTAACAATGCAAGTCTGAACACATCCTTACTGAATAAAAATATTAATAAAAAAATAATAATTTGAACAGTTTTGAACGGTAGAATATATATTGATACACAAGATTTTTATTTTAAATAAATGCTGTATAGGTGATGTGTGTTTTTATTTTTTAGTAGTTTTTACTATTAGTTTTCATTATTAGTAACAGTGTGGAATAATGTGTAGTTGGTGGATTTATTTTTGCTATTTTTATTTTTGAACAATTTTGAATAACGTATAAGCTGTGGGTGTATTATTATTTTTTGTGTTACTAATAACACTGTGCGTTACTTTATTTTTTAGTGTTACTGCGCTGTACCTGGTCAGTTAATGGTAAAGTACAGTTAATATCCAGCCGATCGTCTCCCTCCAGCTTCAGCAAAGAGTTTCCCAGCAGCTTCTGTTCAGACAATAAAAGACAGAGATGAACGATTAAAACACAAGTCACACAGTTCACTGGGTAAAGGAGCTGAAGCCAAGCACACGTGTTCAAGACAGATGTAGTAGCTGCTCGAGCGAGACGTTTGCATTCAGGATCGGCCAGTGTTTCCTACAGTTTGAGTTAAACATGAACAAACACACAAATTCTGAATTCATGTCATACATATTGATGTATATCATGCCTCAAATGAACAAAACAAAACTAAAAACAACGAAGGAGCACTTCAGCTTGCTGTGTGAACGAAGCCCGAGTGATTCATTTCAAATGAACCGATTCATAAGAGTCATTAGTTTGTGAATCAGACTACACTGGTCATGCTGCATGTGAGAATGTCCCAATGTAAAGACGTCTTAATTGTCTATTCATTGCGTTTGTATTATTTTCAAGAATTTCTGCTTTTCTAGACTGAGCTGCAGGAAACACTGGAGTCTGCGGATGATTCAGAGGAACGGTCTGATGATGCAAGCGACACGGGCACCAGACAGAGGAGCATGCTGGGTAACACACACACACACACACACACACACACACACACACACG